CGGTCCTGAGGGACGCCAGGGCGGCGCTGGGCCCGGCTGCGGCGGCGGTCGCGTAGCAACGGGCCCGCGGCCTGGAGCTGCCCGGGCCGAGGTGGCCTGCGGTCCCCGCTGCCGCCCTCCGCCAGCGCCCTGCGCGGCACCTGCAGCCGGCTGGGACAGGCACCCTGTCCCTGCTCCACGGACAGCTGCGCACCCGTGTCCACCCCAGCCTGCTCCCCGCTCCCCCGTCGAGTGGGGCAAGGAGCGGTAGAAAGGCTTTCACGTACTGAGGCAGAGAGAGGAGTATCTGCCAAGTACTACTCTGCGTGGTCCTGGAGAGCCCTTCCAGCCCTGCACTACCAGGATTTCCTTGCCAATGCCTTGGCTCTCCACCCTAGCCTGGTTTTCAGCCGAGCTAAGCGCTACCGGTGTTTGCTGCTGCTGCCAGTGCGCGCCATGGAGGCCCGGCACATTTGCAGACGTTAGGTGTCCGAGAGGGCAGCAGCTAAGATGGCAGCTGGGAAACCATGGCCTTGCGTTAGTATTCAAAGCCAACAAGCACAGGCAGCGCTAGCAGGGTAAGGACTTGGCCAGCAGATATACATACCCCTGAGGCAAATGTTTTCAGCGTATGTATTTTTAATACATTGCTGTATTTTGTTAAAACTTTAAATAGATTGGGGGGGGGGTCTAATTAATGTCTTTATAAATAGCTTAGTAGCTATAAAAAAGTGCATTTTTATTTTCCTCCCAGGTACCTGGCTGCAGCAGCCTTCCCAAAGGGGAAGCTTGTTTCGGTAGGTGCTGCAGGTGGTCGGGCTGGCTTGGGGGCACGGGTTATTTTTTCCCTTCAAACCAAAGCTGCATCGCATCGTCGCTACGTGGATTTGCGCTTCGCTGCAGCCCAGCAGGCTGAGGACTCCCCCTCACACCACACACCGCACTGTCGGGTCAGCACCCCTGAAGTCCCTCAGCAGGGCAGAGCCGCGGGCCCCAGGGCCGGGCCCGGGGCGGGTTTCCAGCCCCCGCCGGGCCGCTGCCCGCGCCTCTAGAGCGCGGCTCCGGGCCGCTGCCCGCCTGTGGCCTCGAAGACATCTGCTCCCGGTGTGAGGGGGTACCGCTGTACTGCTTATCGAATAGCCAATAGCCGCGCGATGTTTTTGCAGGACTCTAGAGCATGTTTAAAAAAGCCTAATTCATTTTTTTAAGTCCCCTAAAGCATATGTCCAATCAGTGTATTTACTTAGGGCTGATTTTTGCTATTCTGCTATTAAAGTTATTTGTGTTCCCCCTATAATTCAAGGCTAAACAAAGGGGCCCGGGGCGGGTTTCCAGCCCCCGCCGGGCCGCTGCCCGCGCCTCTAGAGCGCGGCTCCGGGCCGCTGCCCGCCTGTGGCCTCGAAGACATCTGCTCCCGGTGTGAGGGGGTACCGCTGTACTGCTTATCGGCCCGCTAATAGCCGCGCGATGTTTTTGCAGGATTGCAGAGCATGTTTGATTTTTAAAAAAGCCTAATTCATTTTTTTAAGTCCCCTAAAGCATATGTCCAATCAGTGTATTTACTTAATGGGCTGATTTGCTATTCTGCTATTAAAGTTATTTGTGTTCCCCCTATAATTCAAGGCTAAACAAAGTGTTTAGATGAGGATAAAGAACAATTTTGTTTTTCAAGCTAGCTTTTGGATTGTCGTAATTAAGTTTGACCTTCTTTTTTTTCCCCCGAAGAATACTATGGTGTTTGCCTGGTGAGATGGTGGCAGCAAATATGTGGAATTATAAAGGACTGGTTAGCTTCTCAAAAGTCATCTCGAGTCGTCTATGACTAGTCCAGTAGTCATAGATTGGGTCTTCAGGCTGTTTGGCTAGCTAAATAGTTCTGCCTCCAACCGTTTTCATGGCTGAAAATGGTCTTTGATGGCATTTGTGTCACCCTTTTATGAAAGCCAGGTACTCCATAACATCATTCTGACTCAGAAACAGCCTGCCTCAGTTGGCCGAGTGACACCATTCTTAACATTGTGGCTATTACTTTGTCAAAGGACCTCAGGGTACTAGCAAAATGTCATTATCATAATTTCTAGAAGCAGTAGTCTGCGAGTCAGAAGTTTTATTTTCTTTTCCTACAGTGTCCAGACAGATTTCCACATTTCATTTCAGGCAACACAAGGAAAAAAATTATCATGTTTGGTGAATATTCCTAACAATTTTGAAGGGGAGGTTTGCAGTTTGTTAACCAAATAGTAACGTACCCCAAGCTCTCACTATGTATTCCTTTTATTTTCTATTTTGACAAGAGGTAGTCAGAGGACTCGGGAAAAAGGGTGGAAGTCTGGCTGTTGTAAAACACAGTCTTTTTGCCATGATATGATGGTTGGGTACAATCAAACTTAGAACAACGTGTCCTACAACTGAGAGCTAAACCTCAGCTTTGTAAAAAACGTTAAGTGGTAACTAAGTGAAATGTCTCAAACTTGGTATCAAGTATTTCATTTTAAACACTGACAGACAGCAGTCCTCTGGTGTCAACCCATACCATGGATGCGGATGCTCTACAGAAACTTATTCATTTGCTCCAGGCCACAGATGATCCATTAATTCAAGAGCAAGCTTTAATCACTCTCAGCAACAGTGCTGCCTTCTCTGTAAATCAAGTAAGTATTGTTCTGTAGAAGACACCAGTGTTTCAATACCAGTCAGTATGGAAGATGAGAGGTGCTGTTTTGCTGAAGAGTGACACAGGACTGAGAGCTACGATAGGTTGTGTTCTAAAATGCCTTAATTTCTGCTAGCCCAAGTAATATAATTTACCAGCTTCACAAAATTTATCTAAGCTTAATGTTTGTATAACTTAAAGTCTGTACAGAGTTCTGTATTTTCAAAGTGCTGTAAATATCTTTCTATCTTTTGTTGCTCACAGTTATGTAACGTTAATGCAAGGGTTGAATTGGAGAAGGGTTAAATGCTTTCAGGATCAGATCTGAAATTTACTGAATAATTGAAACTAATTTTTTATCTTTACAGAGTTGTATGCCATTTGCATCTTAGCAACTTTCCAACTGTCCAGGTCTCTTTGAATCAGTTGGAAATGAGATGCAGAAAAACTTTGAGCTGGATGCAGATTTTCATGCCTTTGCAAAGGTTTAACCTCCAGGGTCCCTTTTTTTTCCCCCCCTTTTTGTTATGGTACTTCCGACAGCTGTCTATTCTGGCTTCTCAGAACCGTTTTCTTAATATAAATCTGTCAGAACAAAATGTAACTGAATCCCAAGGCCCATTGGCCCATTCATCATTTTCTTGAAAACAGTACATGTTTTTTTTGTCGATGGTTGGAGTCTAAGTGAGAAAGATTAAAAAAAAAATCAAGTGTAATGCAAAAGACAGATAAAGTTCTAGAACTTCTACTCATAATAATATAAAGCTGCATCTTGAAATTCTGTTCTGTTCAGTCAGGACTTTTAGGTACTGTGACCTGGCTCAGCTATTCTATAAACTCATTATGCCATAATTACCTTTGATTCTTTATAATCTAAAATGCTTTAAGCATGCTTTGCAGGCCAAATTTTAAAAGTAAAGGGTTGTGCCATTGTCAAATAATGTCAAATATACTTTGGCCCTAAGCAGGACTATTCTTAATTTCAATGGAAGCAATAAAGCAGTATCTCCTAAAACACTCTCTCTTTAAACAGAGTAGTCTATTCTGGAAGTCTTCATTCACACATTCCATTTGCATTAAAATGGAAACTGAGGAAAGCCTTGAGCATTTAAATTTTTTAATAATCTTATTAAATATCTGTTTTATATTTCAGGATATAATCCGAAATTTGGATGGCCTTTCTGTTATTGGAGGGATGCTCTCAGATTGCGTTCCCAAAGTTAAAGAAAAAGCACTAAATGCATTTAATAATTTGAGTATGAATATTAAAAATCAGGAGGAGATACAGGTAAGTTTCCTGAAGGGAAAAATCAAAGTAATTGGGACACGAGAGACAGTACAGGGCTTTCAGCATATTCATTAAATACAAGCCAGATGCCAAAATGTTTTGAGGTTAGACATACGAGTCAGCAGAACTGGATGATCTGTGCGTCCCAAGGCCAAAAGGATAGCTTAAAAATGCACTGCATCACTGGCACTTACTTCTTTTAAAAGACAGTTAGGAAACTAGGCAGTTTGTGTTCAGCTTTCACCAAATGCTATGAAACAGAGATTGTGCTGCTAAGTTTATAGTGAAATTATGTGAGGCAAGATGATTTCCAAACAAGTCTAGAGCATCCGCAGTGGTTGTGTAATAGGATGGATTGCAGACCAAACTTAGCATGACTCCTTAGGCAAGGGAGAAGAAAACAGTAACTGATTCCCTGGGTTTGTATAAGACCAATTTTTCAGGGTGATACTTTCACCTTAAAAGAATAGCATGTAATAACGGTAACAAGTCCTGCTGGTAAATATATGGTATGGCTATGAAAGGACCAACCATCAAAAAAGCATCCACTTTTGATATTATCAGATTAATCAATAGATCAAGGAGCGTCCAAGCAGTGAGCTGATGCAGATTTGAAGATTTTTACTAGTTTTTTCATTAGCTTGATAAAAAGGCCGTTTGACTGTATGTGGTAGTTTGCAGCACCTTTAGTGATGAGCAACTTTTTTTAAAGTAGTGCTTGCCAACAGCAAATATTTATATAGGCATATAGGTAGAAAACAACTCCTTTGGTAAAGGCAAAGTGATTTTTTTCTTAGTTAGGATTCCAAGATTCATTGTATACTGTCATCTAGAAGAAAATTTGGCAAAAAGTAGTTGTCAGTGTCAGTTGTCATCACTGTTCCTGAGGAGTACTCCAGTGAATGGGCCACATGGTTGGAAGAAAGGATTTCATTCCAAGACTTGTCCTTAGCTTGTTGTCAACATTTAAGAAGACGTTGGTTGCTGTAAGTGATTTTTAAATAACTCCTTAAAGCAAACGTGCCACTTCTGAGATGGAGTCAAAGTAATTTGGGTTTCCAGAGCGATTTATGCTTCAGGAAGGTTAGTGAGCATAACTCTGTAACATCTGCTTCTATCATGCCAATAAAATGTTTGAATATATTAAAAACAAAACAAAAAAGTACTTGTTTCCAAGAACCTTGATCAGGTTATGTATTCAGCCAGCAGTGTTCAAGAGGTATTTACGCTATTGTGACTAGGCCACTGATACTATTTGTGAATAGAAAATCTGTTTGTATCAAAAAAGTCTTCTCTTTATCTCGTTCCCTTTTTCCCAGGTATATATTACGCAAGTTTGTAGGAACGTTGAGTCAGCTCCCCTGAACTCTGATCTGCAGCTAGCTGGACTCAGGTTGTTGACAAATATGTCTGTTACCAGTGACTACCACCATAAGATGATAAACTCAATTCCATGCTTTCTTCATTTGCTTTCAGAAGGAACTGAAAGGACACAGGTACTGGGTAGTGTATTGTTACAAACCATTTATGAAGCTGCTTTACTTGCCTTTTTACTCTTTGTAAAATGGTTTAGACTGTGCTTAGAAAATCAAGTATTCATTAATGATGGCAGATAGTACACAAAATCCATAAAATACGGATCTATATTACTTTCTCAGTGTGAATTCAGAAAGAGGGGAGGAAGGGAATCTTGATAGTGGAACCGTTGGGCTAAAGCTGTACCCCACCAGTGCTCTGTGCACTGCTATTGTCCTACGCCTTTGCTATAGCAACTCCAGAATTCTCTTCTGCTCGCTAAACATTGCTACTGCATCACAGAGCAAGGAGGATCTGCATGTGAAAAGCTTCACTGATGCATGAATCTCTCTAGGGAAATATGCCAAGCAGCAATAACCTCAGTTATGGATTTCTGCTCCCTTATGCTTGTTACATCTCTTGCAACCCTAGTGACTGCAATGGGAAACTGTGCTTATTTGTGAATTATTGTAATATTGAAAGAAGAGAAAAGCTTCAAACAGGGACCAAATTCAGTGTTTATTCAAGATGTCACAGCGCCATCAGTATCAATGTACTCAGTTGCTCTATCAGATCAAAACTAGTTTTCCAAAACACAAATTTCCACTAAACTTAGCAGACCTATTTTACTGAAGTACAATAAATAGCATTTGGCCTTTTCCTAGTGTTTAGTTAAAAGATTAGTGTCACAAGGTCCAGGAAAATACAAAGGCGTGTTTCTATATGCTTCTGATCACATTTTAAAATACAGTACTTAACCATCCTCTGTATATTTTAAAAATAGTCCGTATTTTGCCTACTGCGAGTTGTGTATAGATTGTGCCTTATTTTGATGTTTAAGGCAAACAATTTGCTTCTAAAATATCTATACTTAGTACGTATGTGCTAGTGACTCCGTAAGCTCTGTTTTTTCCTATACCAAAGACTGAAGCGCACAACTCAAGATGTTAGTTGACCCATTCTACCTTTTCCTCTCCAAGTCAACGCTGACATTATTGATGCCCATTACTGCTGTACTTACTGTTTTTAGAGCTTGCAATGAACTTGTATGTTCCTCATTTCAGATTCAGGTTTTGAAAGTACTTGTGAACTTATCTGCAAACCCAGCCATGACAGGACATCTTCTCAGAGCTCAAGTAAGGTTCTTGCTGTTTCATTGTATTTTTAGCATTTATACATGTATCTACACACGTGCACATGCATGCATTAGAAGAATTTTGATGTATTAGAAGTATATATGCAACTCCAGAGTAAAATTCTAGGCAGTACCTGGTTAAAGTTAGTAGCTAGAAGTGTACATTCTTTCACAGGCTAGCTTTCTTCCAGAGTGTAGTGTAATACAGATACTGTACTTGCAGAGGCAGAGTCACAGGGCCTATGCACTTGAAGACAGTTGGTCATACTTCCCGTGTACCATTCCAAATAATCAGTGACAACTTGCAGAAGCCTGTTCTCACCTTCCCTTTCCACCAAAGGGGTAGTACCATGAACTTCTGTATGTAATATATATAACGTACCCTGATAAGTTTCAGAAACAAACCCAAACCTTCACTTCCAGACATGCAGTCAGGATATAGATTGAAGACCAGGTACAAACATCAAATACAACCAGTACTGTAAATGATCCTTCTCAACAGCTGTTTCTATAGCTAACATACTGTACCTAAGATGACCAAATTCCACTGAAATCCCCACCCCTTTACTCAGATGCAGCCATGAAACTGTTGTCTCTAAGCACTATAAGTGAGCTTTCCCTGTGCACTTACTATGTCCTCGTGGAGAACTTTATCTGACATTTGCTATTCCTGGCCTTGGCATAGGGATTTATTTCGGTTATACCCTTTCCTCACACCAAAACAAAGAGCCAGGGACTGGAATGGTGCTGCATCCTCCTCCCCAGAGTAAGTTTCTTAAAACATGCAGTGGCTTTTATTTTTGAACTCTCTGCCATCAGCAAAGCTAGTCTGGATACTACCGGCTTTTCATTATTAAAACAAGATTAGGGTAGCTAAATATTCAGTTCTCTGTTAAAAGTGTATCCTTTTCTCGTTTATCAGATGTGCTAACACAAAAACATTCAGATCACTGCAAAAGGCAAAAGCAGCATTATTGAGGAGGAAAGCAAACCCTCTCTTCCAAATGGGAATTTTCCAGACAGCCACATTTTGGAGGTTGAAAGTACAAAGCATTTATTAGCCGGTGATGCACAAGCCAGTCTTTTTCTAAAGAGGAAATGTGCACGCTGTGCAAGTTTCTGGCATGCTTTCACAGCATATGGAGTTCGGGTATTTCATAGGGTTTCTGTTTTAGATGGTTTAGGTGCAGATTTTTTGTCTTCCATTTTTTTAAAGTTAGATTTAGTTACGTGTACTTACTGCTGGTGATTAAGTATGGATTATTTCTTGAATATCCTAGGTGCCATCATTGCTGTTACTTTTTGACACCTGTATAAACAGAGATATTCTGCTTAGAGGCCTGGCATTTGCAGCAAACTTGAAAAAGAACATGAACAATGAAGATGGCACCATGATTCAGGACCAATACAGTGAAGATTCAATTTTCTTTACACTCTGCAGGGACTCTACCCCATTCGCTCAGAAACTGGCATCTTTATTGCATCACCCCGATACAGAAGTGAAAGAGCAAGTTGTGAAAATATTAACACAATAGTAATTTTTGTAAAAAAAGACTGACCTGATGAAAAATCTAATCTTAAGAATGCTATGCTAAAAAAACCCCAGCAAACAAAAAGACAACCAAAAAAATTACTGAATACTACTGTATTACTAGGCACAAATCAGTTACTACACGAGAGAATGCAATGTATTTAATATAGAGAGCGAGGAATAGTTCAAAACATGAAAACTTTCATACGTACAGTGAACGTTCTAAATGGATGGGTAAAGTCAATTGAAATATTCTTCTCAATGTCAAAATTTTTGTTGCCTTAAATATTTACAGCTGTTGAATAAACACCTCTATAGAATGGTGCATTAAAGATTTAGGAATTAGCGATTAGGCATTTACATTTTATTAATCTGATATCTACTAAATAGGTGCAGCCAAATCTTAGAAAATAATAAATAAAAACAATACCAGACTGCCATTGGCTTCCTACAAAATCAGTATTTTCAATGAAAGCTGCATATTAAAGTTACCCAGCCCATGTTTTTTTACCTTACCTGCACAGAATGTATTCTAAAACTACATTCTCGTATGCTTAGTATATCCATTCCATTTAGCCAAACTGCAGCGGAGTTAACCACAACCATGCAAGGTTTCCACACTTGAAAAAAATCAAAAGGATTTTATCTTGCTTTAAATTGTCATTTTAAGGAAAGCACACATTTTTCAAAATATTTTATTATGAGTCAAAGATTATCTGCAGCTGCAATTCAACATTCTCATCTTTATAAAAAGTCTACAAAAGCAGTTTCTTACGTATTTTTACAAAAGCTTCCTGTTCTGCAGCAGCCCTCGAGCCCACTTTCCTTGGAGAGCTTTAAACCTTTTTCTCTGCAACTGGCATGTCATCGGAGTAAGTGCTTCTGTTGAGTTAGCCCCCATAAAGTTTTAGACATCAGTGCAGCGTTAATTCAAAATGCACAGGAATACATATAAACATCATTGTAAAAGAACCTGCAGGAAGTTTCACTGATGAACATAAAACGTAGTAGAAAACAGAGTAAAACGAGACTACTAAAACTTCCTGAACACCACATTATAGAGACAGTAAAAAAAGCATCAGATGTGGAGGCTAGAAAAGAAGTTTTCCACCTTGTACCATTTTTAAGAGAGCTGTATTACCTAAACTGTTACCACATGCTTCATCTTTCTCAGTTAATATACCCACTCTGCTCTTAATAAAATATTGCCCTCTTCTCCTGTAATTCAATATATTTTTTATTTTCGGTAGGCAACTTTGCAAATAGCTAAAACTGCAAGAAAAATGTGACCTTGAAAATACAACATATCTATGCCCTGATCAATACAGGGGTAAAGCTACATGTATCTAATTTATTATCTACATAGGTAGTTTTAACTCCTCAGGAATACAATTAAGGCAGAAATAGAAGTTGGCATGATTCCCAGTCAGAACCCTGACAATCGCTGCATTGACAGTGAACTTCCTTTTCTCCTTCCCGCTGCTCCAGAAACACTCTTCATGTTGTAATAAGCAAATTACATTACAATCACTTAATGTTTTGCCACTTTTCGTAGCTTTTTTTTTTCTTCATTTTTTTCTGCTTCTGTATTTAACAAAGAAAAATAAAGGCTAGGTCAGACACTAAGAATTTACCAATCCCACCTTTCTCTTCTGACACAAGAACTGAGACTAGTCTGTTCTAGGTATATCTGAGATAGATATATATATTTATGTTTTCTTAAGCTCAGCAATGGAGATGTCTAGATGTCCCTCTCCATGTTCTCCAACCTAAAAATAAGTTTTTCAAACATCATCTTTTTGATAAGTAAAGTTGATCTCTTATCCTTTGCTTTGATAGCTGACAGAAACAAGTGACCATTCTCCCCTTTTCTAAAAATACATGAAAACTTGTTACAGTGTTGTCTCAGTCTTCCTTTTCTGGTCTAGAAAGAGCTATTTTTAAATGCTTTCTTCATAGAACAATGCTGTTGAGAAGTTTTGAAGTCATGCAAGACCCTCCAAAGTGTCTTCACACAAGTGTGTCTAATTTTTTTTATCCCCCACCCCACACCCTAGACGGAATCTTACCAGCACCAAGCAAAGCGTAACAGTCACCGTTCTACATACAAATGCTGTGAATTAATAGATCCAAACCAAAATGTATGCCATTACTGACATGTAGTCTCTGGTCCTTGTAAGTCAGTACTTCTCTGCTATGCGGCTGTTTATCTAGGTATTCTGTATTTTAGTTTCATTCTTTCTTTCTAAAGTACAGAATTTTACAGAATAGTCTATTGATTTTGAAAACTGAAGAAACCCCAAGCTGAATTTTAACCATGTCCTTCAAAGTACTCAAAACATCCTGCAGCTTGATGTCCTCCACAATATTATGAACATGTAATATGCATTATGTTATCCAAATCGTTATTGAAGCTGTTTTGTAAATATGAGGCCCAACAGAGACTTCATCTGAAATACCCTCCCCAAATCAATACTGAACAACTGAGAGTAGTTTTAAACCAGTTTTGAACACATTCTGGTGAATACATCTAGACCCTACTAGAATTACCTTTTCAAAGAAAGAATCTTGATGTTTGTCAAATATGAATCCCACCAAAGGAATATAAGCTACTTTTTCTTGCATACAAGTGTAATCCTCTGTTCCAGAACTTCCTCAGCATGAACTTGGACTAACTGATCTTTGCTTCCTTGTGCTGTTCTCTGTTGGTATTAAGATCTTTAAGACCTCTAGGACTTCCTGATACAAATTTTTAAAAGGTAACTGTCAACAGTTAAAAGATTACTTGTTTGCTCCTAGCATGAAATCTCATTAACTGGTTTTAATCAGTTGCCAGAAGTTCATGTCTTTAAATTGCAGGGGAATAATGTGTCTTTTTTTATTTATCTTCATGGAATATGAACATAAAATGTAACGCACAGCAAGAGCAAAAAAATACACATATCCCACAGACCAAAACAAATCATGAACAAAAAAATGATTTGCCAATGAATTATAAAGGAGGATAACAACCCATTTTATTGGCAACAATAGGCTTTAATTCTGTAAATTGGCATGGCCATTTGATACAGATACATTTAGCCAAGTTTTACAATACTGAACAATGTTGTAATCTCTCATTCAACTTCTAAATTACAGGGAAGCTATAAGAAAAAAATACCGCAGCCCTTGCTTAAGACTTTTCACTTAAAAAAAAAAAAAGTACTTAATAATAAGCTGAGTCAATGCAAAGACAAAGCGCCATTAAGGGAGTCTTCGATTTCATGTACTGCATTTGACAAGAAAGTTATTTTAGACTCATTCAGGCCTAACTTAAAAATATTGACAAAACAATGAAAGTGTGCAGATACTCTGGCCAGCAGTAAGTTTTACACATCGATGATGCAATATTAAATAATCTCTCTCTTTAAAAGGCACATTTCTTAAGATCATTGTAAAATTCAGCTTTTGTGGTTCGCCAATATATGAAAATGTAGAAGCACTCAGTAAAATAATTATTTTACTGTGCTTGTGCTTTAACAACACAACTGTATTGGAAGACTCCACCCCACAAAACACAGTGAAGCTATCAAGGTACAGGGCATAACCTGAAGATTAATGACTAACAAGTGGGAGATGACATTTGAACAATGACTAATCCAAGTCAGCCATTAATTCTAAGAATATGTCCTGTGCTGAGGTTATTATTGCTGTTGCAGGGAAGATGAAGAGTTTAAAAAAAACACAGTAATTTCTCAGTGGTGTACGTAAGAGTTGAAAATACAAGTTATTCCCAGACAATACCTTATATATTAACCAGTTTTTAGATCACCTCTCAAAATTTATAAACAATATAACTAGTAAAATTTATCATGAAATCAGTATGCAAGTTTTAGTTCTGAAACTGACAAACCTGGCATCTAAAAATCCAATTCACTCCAAAAAATCTACTTCGTAAGTACATCGTATTAATATTTGTAACATTAATTGCAGTTCAAATCAAACGAGGCTTACAAGGAACTGCTTCTGTTTCATTCAAATCCATCATTTGTACTCAAGTCCCGTGATTCTCCATGGTTTAAGACAAAGAAGTCTTCTTTTTTCAAGCCATATCTTTCAAGAGCTTCATTCAGTTTAACTGGAGGATCCAAGTAATACTGGAAAAATAAGAATAATATGAGGGAAAAGATACCACTGCAGCATTTGGGGGGGGAAAAAAAGAGTATCACTGCTTTAAACAAGAAATGGTTTACTTTTTAAACATTATCTAAAAAGGGGGGGGGATATATTTGTCAAATTAAAACGTTTGGTTTCATTTTCTGTTTTTAAACGATAAGAATGCTGATTTACAGTTGTAGAGTAACTATCAAGGCACAACCTATCATCCAGAAGTCAGTCTTCTTCAATGTGTTGAACTAGATCTCTCGGAAGCAGAAATACAGCGATTCCTTATTGCTAGCACAGAGGAGGAAGGGTTAACAGGTCAGCAGATGGCGCTTTCTCTCGTTTAGTAAAACAAAGTTGTCAGCTTTACTGTTTAAAAACTAGTGCCCTGTCAATGAGGTCCCCCTGAAGTTACTTCATTCTATTTGTTACATTTCAGAAAAAGCATCATCAGGGAGAAATCATCCATTTTTTTGTGCTTCTAAACACACAATAGCATTTGTACCGTGGGCACTAGTGATACGGCTTATTAGAAGCATCGTGGATAGAAAATGTTATATCCAAGTTAAAGGAAAACATGACATAACAGGTGAACGTAGCTGACAGCATCAGGACTGAGTTGTAAGATAAAGTGGTGCAACTGATACAAAGATAAAGATAAAGTTGAAAAACAGCTACCAGGCAAGGTGTATCCAAGTAGATGTAGATACTTCCCTTTCACTGCATTTTAGTCACTGTTAAGGTACCTGGGTAACCTCCTTATTAGAGCTGGGGACTCAGGGAGGGGGTGGGAGTGGTGGAAGGAGGAAGAATTAAAAAAAAAAAACAAACAAAAAATCAGCAACTCAGAATAACTCAGTTTTTCATATTCTTGCTGGTATTTAACTATGAATCAACTATCAAAAATACTATTCATTTTATTTACTAGACAGATTAATAAATACTGTATTGACCTACAAGCACACAGTTCTTACTGGTGCATCTCCAGGTGATGCACTGCTGAGTTTACTTTTATTATTGCATAAGTGTCCCCACCTTTCATGTTCCTCAGCTTCTGGATATCAGAAACCCTCCACATCTGTTTCAATAACTCTGTACTTTCAAATCAATCTTAACCGTGGAAATATTTTATGTAATTGGTTATGAAAAGCTAAGCATTGTTTTTAACTGCAGTACATATAGTAACAACTTTTCACTCATAGAAAGTTTACATTTTAAGTAGACATTTACAGATATGTAGGTTAAACTGCAAGAGCAAAGTTTCATTAATGACTCTGTACTCAGGGAATCTGGACTCCTGTAGAGTGTTGAAATTTACCTCATTTGCTAAAGCAAAGGTCCCCCAGTGAATTGCTACAGACTTCTTTGCTTGAACATCAATATGGATTCTTACTGCTTCTTCAGGATCCACGTGCTGGTATTTCATAAACCACCTACCAAAACACAAAGTAAATTTTTTTGTGTCACCTAATTCAGTGCAAGATTTCTTCTTTACTTTCATTGGGTAAGTGGAAAGAATCTGAAAAAAACCCCAAAAAAACCAAAACCC